TAATCCATTCAAGCACTGGTGCTCTAATAAAACAAAAGTCTCTGTATGGATGCGCTAGTCGTACTTAAGCCCATAGTAGTAGATAATCACCTTGAAGAGCAGTCGAGTGCTTTGTTTTTAAGTTGAATGATAATCTTCTTTTCTATCCTTTTCTGCTAACGAGAGATCCGCATAATAAGCACTCGTACTTGCATCAAACTTTTATTACGTAATTTTATTACGTTAATTATTTTCAAGACGAAAGTCAGTTGCGAAAAAAGATAGTTATGAAAGTCTTCAGAATCAGATTGCAAATATTTTTTGAACTTTTTTGGAGGTTTGTAATACAGTGAATAAGATATTTACATAGCATACCATGAGGGGATATCGAAACAATAAACAAACAATTCTCTTTTTCGTTTCTGATTGAAAATATTATAAATGAAAGAAATGACCAATTGATTTTTTTCGAATCATGGAAATGTATGAAACACAGATTTTACTTATTGTTGTTTCAAATTATTTCTAAACTAGGTTTAGAACTTTAATTTCTTTCTGCTCAGTACTACTCACAAAAAATTAAATTCAATATTTATCAACCTTTTCTTCAATAACTCCGCGACTGAAATTATAACGACTCTTGTTGAATGTTTGAACATTTGGTGCTAAAATTTTGGACCATTTCAAAATATTATTTGTCTTACCCTCTCTTACCCGAGTATTTATCAATCATAATTATGTTTTACACAGTAAAAGAAATTATTGTTATGTACGATGTTTCCCTGCCCTGATTCACTCTGACGTTCTGCGACTGGTCTTCACACGATCCTTCCATTCGCAATTCGGCCATCACACTGCCCTTCCATTCGTCATTCGGCCTTCACACGACCCTGCCATCTCACCCCGCCCCCAACCCCTCGCAGGCGCCAGCCCCACCCGCTTCGCTTGACTCCTACTCCCTCCCCCCGATAATCACCGATGCAAAGGGACATCTGCGAACACATGCATTGATGCGTAAACTTTAAGTAACAATTTTGACATTCATTTACTATAAGACTAATTCCGCTGTTTGAATGAATGAAAATGCAGTGAATGGAAAATGTTATGAACGTGCAGAAATTTTAATTTCCTTTGTTAAATTTACTCACTCTTGTCGTTATATTTGCGAAAACGGAAAGATTATACACTTAAAAATATTGTTGTATGGGATAGGAAATAGGGATAGGAATAAATGTTTTCGGAATCTCACCCAGAAAGCTACTATTGTGTTTCTGGTTGTGCTGAATAGTTTTATTATCTAAACTATATGATATAAAAATACAGTTATTTTCATATCATACATAAACGCTCCAATTTTATTTTTTACAGATATAAGGTTCAAAGAATGTGTTACGTAAGTGATGACTTGGTGAATCTCTGTGAACATTACGCGCCGTTTAAAAACATTACGCCAAACGCAATAAAACTCGCCCTTCGAAACACAAAAGCCGATTTTCTATCCCTTAGTTGCATCATTTCCACGTTTGCAAGATGGCTGTGTGGGTTGAACGTAACGTGTGTTGAGGCTTGCATATTACGCTCGTATTAGAATCTGTAAACTTTTTCCGCGTTATTTTTCTTTGATGAAGAAGAAAGGTGATTTTCTAACCAGCAACATTTCATTATCGTATTTTGTGTGAATGGTTTCATATCAATGATCTTTTTCCGTGGAGCCCTATCATAATCCTTTCTCTTGTATTCTATATATAAAGGGTTGTGGGTACACTTGCAATGCCCCCAACAACAGATTCCGAAATCACTCCAGTCCGCCCAGAACACAGCCATCAGACGTACGAAGCCCCATCTCACGGCCCCAGAATACGAGCTCTGTTGCGATGCCATCTCCCGGGTGCTCCGTCCTCGCACGCCGCAAAGCTTCTTTATCAGTCCCAAACACCTGCTCCTCCGAATAAAAAATCCCGGCGTGCCCTTCGGCCCTACCTCCTTGGCGCGCGAATCGATTCCTTCCGGTCGGACGCCCCGGGCGAACCACGTGCGTGTCGGCGCGTGCACGTGTCCTTGCCGGCGGAACGTAGAGGGAGGGAAGGGCCTTTCCGAACGAGAGCGCCTTCCCGGTTATGGCGCCGACGGGCAGGGGGCGGGGCGGGTCATCCGGCCGGACGACACGTCACGACGGGCATAAAACCACGCGAGAGGTGGGCGGACACGAGGACAGACGAGCCACGGGCCGTACCCGGCGTCTTCTCCGCGCCGGCCGCAGTAAACTAGACGGACGACAATGGCCCGGTATTTCGTCCCGGTAAAATACGAGACACCGTTCAAATTCCTTCTGTTTTATTATTTTCTGGCCCTCTCTCCGCCGTGTATCGCGCTCGGGAAGGGCGGGCGTTACGGCTGCAAAACGGCCGAGTGCCTTCGCCTGGAGGAGGAAGGGCTGAAAGGGCGACGATTCGCCCACGCGCGTCTTATGAAGGGCTGAAGGATACGAGGGATTCGGGGGTTGTCGCCGGCTCAGCTGGGCCTAGTGGATCTGGGAGACGAGGGTAGGGTTAGGCAGCGCAGTCAATGACCGGGGTTAAGAATAAAGCTCGTTTGGTTTACTGTTGTTTAAACAATGGGCGGCATAATTTTTTAAAGTTTGTTTTAGCTGTTCTCTACGTTGTACAAGATGACGTTGTTTCATATAAACCTTTGAGGAAGTCATTGTGGTACTTTACAAGGAACGTTTACACGAAACACTGTCTTGTTTCAGAACAGAAATGAAATATTGCGTAAAGCATTCTCACACTGTATTGTAAACAGAACGAAAAACTTTACATATAAAATAGAGGATATGTTATCACTCCAAACCTTCTGAACCATTAGTGCAACTGTTCTTAGATTTTTAACGAAAAATATACAGAAGCAAAAAAAAAATAAAGGGAAGTTTTCGACTTAAAATATAAGGTATTGCAATTAGTAATAAAATAACGTTGCCTTTCTGTGAACGGAAATATTGCTAAGTAAATGAAGATAATTACAACTGGGTGAGTGTATACAAAAGAAACCGCTGGTAAATAATGATAAACAACAAAATGTCAAAAATATATTAACATTTGCTCATTTCTATGGTTATAAAATAATGTTAATTACAATTATTAAATACAAATAAATTTAAAATTAATTTGTCAAATTCCTTAATCAGGAAAATACTTCTCAGCAGAATCAGATGACAATTTTCTGCTTGTAAACATGCTCGTCTTTTGTACAGGAAACTTTGTTGTTAAGAAATTGGCAACGTCGCGTGCAGAGCCGTGTGACGACCGGGGAGAAAGCCTTGTTGCCAACTCCCCTCGCTTCTCTCCCTCCCTCTCTTCTTCTTACCCTTCGCTTCCTTCCGAGCAGCGTGGGACAAATAACGCCGCAAAGGATACAACAAGAACACTATTTCATTCGGATGAGCAGTAGAGGGAGAAAAACAAAAAAGAAAAGGCTGCGCGGGGTGAAAATTGTTTTCGGCGACTGCGAGAGCGCGAATGTGAACCAGAAAACATTTCTTCACGGCGATGATGTCGTCTTTCCCCTTGGGTTCCGGGATGCTGGGATGTTGCTGTTTGCTCTCTGCGGTGCATGTTTGTAACTTACGGCGTTATGAGACACACACAGTAGACTCCATATCATGCAGAACACTCCCAAGCGACAATATGCATGAAAAAGAAAAAGAAATATTATGAAGATAAACTACAATTTTCTCTAGTGTTCTAAATTTAAAAAAAAAATATAACTTCAATTTGTTGGAAGCTATTAACTGCTAAGCGTATGACTATTTAATATTTTATTTAAAGATGTTATGATATAATTAGGAAAAAAAACTATCTTTAATATGAATTTTGTGGTCGTGAATATTAATGGTCTTACATGAGAATTTTAACACATTAATTAATTCTACTGTTTGAATGAAATATAAACAAACTATCTTAACAGAAAGAGTTTCAAATTATAAATTTTACCCATAAATTGAAAAAAACTTATAATTTAACGATTTTTCTGGGTCCTATACTTGTAGGATGTTCGGGTTATGTAATTGAGAGAGAAGAACGTTGAGCAAGATTGGTGTCCTGTATTCGACATATTTCATTTTCCATTATGTGTTATCACTCACGTAATATTTTGAAACGTTTGTTGGAGGTATTTCACAAGTCATTAGCTGATTAAAAATGAACTATGCTTTCCAAAAGATGTATATATCTTCAGATACTGTTAACGTTCATGAATATAGTACGTTTTTTGAAATTAAAGTCTAGTATTGGTATGAATTTAGTAAATTGAATATGGTCTCTTCATTTGATGGAAGACATCATAATATTTCATAACAAAATTATTTGACAAAGAAAAATCTTGAATATAATTTCTACCAGTCTGTTCATGGTTTGAAATTAGCTTTTTTTAATTGTTAAGGCATTTTGTAAACAATTGAGCTGATGCTCTACACTAATGAGCGTAACTTGCTATTTATCACCTTGACTGCCTTCAAAAGTGTGAGATATTTTGTAAATTTACAATCTTTTCTTCCTCTTTCTTGGCCTAATCATCTCCACACACTCACACGCGCTACACTATCACACTTGGGAGCTTAGAGCTTGTCGCGGTTGGGGCGGTTTTCCGCTGATGGGGGATACCTCGTTGAGGGAAATACCCACAAGCCTACATAGGTCATGCCGGATGTCGTTAGCCTGTGGAAGAAGATCACTTCCAAATTAAACAACGATTCATGAACTGCGCGATTCATGACTTTCTCATCTTACTCTTAGTCTAATGAGCAGCGACATGGCTCATCCAAATATTATCCTAAGGTTTTACAAATCTTCCAGCACTACTAGAAGTACACACGATAGTCAGGTCGCAAGCCAGGAATTGCAAAGAAGTCACCAATTCCGCGTGGCCTTTCTTCGCGTCGCAAGGCAACTAAGCGTGTTCCACCGCCAGCGTCAAACCACGTGACACTGCAGAGAGCTCCATCTAGACGCGTCGCGCCTCGATCGATGGCCGTCGCTTATCGGAAGACTGGTAATCCCGCTCCCCCTATCAACCCATTATCTGCGCGGATTCGTCGACAAATACCATTAATGCTGTCCGGAGAGCCCGCCACGAGGCAACTCTTTGCTTAATTACTTTGTGAAATGTTTTTAATTGCGTTTGGATCCGCCTCGCCAGCGATGGGATCACGAACGTTGCCACTGGGGGCGGCGCAAACCACGAGCCGCAGGTAGGCGGCCTAATCTGAGAAAGTTTGCGCCTGTGTTATAAGAATTTTATCAAAAGGTGAGACGGGATATCATTTTTTTTATTCCCATGTTCTAAAAGGTTTCAAGGTTTTGGAATCTTTCAGTATTCACATACAGATAAAAATTGATAAATTTTAATGTTAGAAATACGTTAGCTCTGAATAAAGAGAAAGGAAAATTGAATCTTGTTTGTTCCAAATAAGATTCAATTTATCACAAGTGTTTGTTATAAATAGTAATTAAAGCCCCAAAACAATCAGAAAACTCCTGATTATTCACTTTAAAACTGAACACTCAGAATGCATTTTGGTAACATTTATAATATTTTAAGTCTTTCTTAGTGAAATATAGTTTTATACATTACTATGTTATGAAGATACATACACCTTTTCTGACACATAAATGCAATAAGTTTAATATAAATATTGAACTACAAGGTCGATATTTTTACTTGATAATCAAAAAAATAAATTGTTTTTGTGCTTAAATGAAGTCGTAGAAATATTATTATTTCTATAAATTTATTAATTTAGCAAATAATTTAGCTAATACTTTATTATATTCAGAATTTAAGCTGTAAACTCCGGAGTCCTATTCTCTTCCTCCTTGATAATGCACGAGAGCTCTTACACACATGAGTGTGCTCAATGCACAGGAGTTACAGTATGATATGATAAAAATAAATAAATATAAATAAAAAATAAATAAAACAATAAAAATGTAAGATATGTTTAAGAGGTTATTAATAGATGATATCCCTCAAAACACAGATATCTGAGGTTTCCACTATGACACAATATGGGAAACATTTCATTTATGTTAAATGAACGTTCTAACATTTGAAGCGAGAACCAATATCGGTTTCAATATATTTTCGATTTCGAGTATACCCCTATCATGTGTTTCACGGGAACTGATTCTTTTGTTGCAGGCGTGGCCTTCCAACCCGAGTTCGCGGAGCCCATCGTCAACCTCACCGTGCCCGTGGGACGCGATGCAACCTTCACCTGCATCGTGCATCACCTCGGCGGCTACCGGGTAAGCAATCTCGTCTGTCGAATAGCATCTTGTAAACAGCTTCACCGCGCAATGTATAAATACATGTAGTTTCAAAACCTTATCAATAAGGAACATAATTTGTTGTAACAGGGCACAATATGTAGAATTTTGTATTTATTTTTACAGAAATATATAGAAATTAAATTGATGATGGAGTTCAAAATTTCTCTGAACATGCATTCTCAAATTTGTGGACACAACACATCGCCGTTCAGACCTTCAAAATGAATTTGTAATGTCGGAACGAACGTTATACGGCTACAGACGTAATTGGCCATAAGTCTACACCACAGAATAAACATTTTATATAAAATATAAATTGTGTACGTAATATTTACGATGTACACGTAAACAGACTAGCGCATAGCCAGTAACGGATGTGAGGTAAGGGGTAAATGGACCACGCATATACCCTAAATAAAAAACAAACAAACATTTATAATGGAATTAATTTTGTAGTAAAAATGACCTCTTTGTGATCGCATTACTTATTAGAAAAGTTTTTATATTTACCTCTAACGCACGAATTTTCATGAATATCTTTGGAATTCTACATCTTTGACAGATGGACGTAGGAATCCGCAGGGAGCGTGAAATGCGAGAGGACAATGGCCTGTCAGAAATGTTGGTCATATTGCGATGAGTAACACATGGACTTAGGGCTGTATGAAACAGGAGCAAACATGTGGTAGCAATCACTTCTGCTTCAGCCTGGATTCCGAGTACGTGGTTTCCTAGAAGCGATGTGTAAGGTCGGCTGGAAAGGGGGTTTGGAGTGCAGCATTACAATGCTTGTTGGAGATATTAAAATACATTACAATGCTTTGTGTCAAGAAATGTGAAATCTAATGATAATAATAATAATAATAATAATAATAATAATAATAATAATAATAATAATAATAATACTGTAATGTTTCGTATGACAAAACAAATATGTCGTAAGAATGCAGCAGTAGGTAAAATATATAATATACCAAAATATGTAAACTAAAAATGAGTAATTCAGATTGGATTGCATACTAAAACATATTAGTTACTGCTAGATTTAGTATGGATACCTGAGTGGGTCAGTAATTTAAAGTGTACCCGATAACGACTATGTAATTTATTTTAGCAAAACCTATGACGGAAAATATTCGGCATTATTGTTTTTGATATGCATGAAATCCCTTATTAAAGCAAATATTTGAAACAATAAGAAACAAACAATATACTATTTATCTTAATAATGCTATTTTAACACAACATTCTTGAAAGTTTCGAAAGCTACAATTAGATGAAATAGTTACGTGGATTGTTAAATGTAAAAATAACTTACTTCCGAATTCTTCGCCATACATTGCCCAGGGGTTGGCAGAGATTTAAATTCTGAAACCAGGATTATACTAGAGTCCTGGTCGCTGGGATACTGGTAGCCCTGATCATATTAATAAGAACATTTCTGAGAATGCGCTAGACGTTTTGAATGACAACCCCACCCCCTCCACCGTCCAGCTTTCTTCATCTCCGTTCCATGACATTTCGCTACGGACATTTATGTTATCGAAGTTCATAGTATCGAAGCGCAAAATCTCTCCAAAGAAAACTCCAGCCAAAGGTTGCTGTGGATAATTACATATTATTATTATAGGTAATATCACTGAGATTTCCGATAAAGCCACAAGATGTGTAGCAGCGAGAGAATTTTATCTGAGACATTCAAAATCGGGAGTGGTATTGATGAAGACTATTCCCTAACAAAATGAGGACTGAGAAAAAAAACGCTTTAATCAATATTGTTTAGTTAAATTGAATTTAATTTGTGACACTTCTGTCAAATCCATAGCAACTTGATAATAGACCGTTTTGTTAACATATATTGTAATTAAAGTTCTGTGAAAAAACTGGTGAAATACTGAATACCAGTCTGACGTTCAATACCAAAACTGGAACGTAAGAGCAACGTTCAGCAACGAGGTCATTGGACAAAGACAAAAAATCTTGTGGGCGAATAAATTATGATTGGCTTACACAAAGCGTGTATTTTAGCGCTATTGGTCAAAAACACAAAAATAAATAAACATGGTAGATGCACCTATGAGTTCATAGGAGTACCTCTCAACAGACTGCATTCTGTGAAAATTTATTTGCAGAATACAGAGGACGACAGAAACGATTGTTCTGAATATTTGTAAAATAAAATAGGTACTTAGGTCTTTGGCTTTCGATATTTTTGTCACCGTTCGATTATTAGAACCAGGTGATGCCCGTGGTACATACGATGGTTGCAGTAGAAGTCATTGCAACTATTTTTTTTCTAAAAGAATTGTTATCGGAACGCACAATTTCATGTGAAGCGTTAAAGATGTGCTGCAGTAGTGTGTGCTCACACCTATAGATGGCTCTGTGAGTGTCTATGCATAGCTCGGAGAGCAATGTGAAATCAGCTACCGCCGTGCGAGATGAATATAAAATGTTTCGAGCAGCGCTCATATTAAGATACCCGTCCTCCAAGGGAGAAATGTCGAGAATGCCTCAGAGAGTTGGTGAATGCTTTCGGTAATAATGCCATTCCTTATCGAACAGTCGTGAGATGGCAGAAGAGTTACTGCACTACGCGCGTCTACCAGTGATTAGCAACGTATGTGACGACCTATGAGTGTGCGAGCCACTGTACCACGCTCGGTTATCCAGCATCTGCCTAATCGAGTCTTTAGATCAGGTTCGTAATGTTTCCGGTATTTTGTCAGCTCGGGTACGCTCAACGCTTTGAAAAACGAGACCAGTATTTTTGTTTCAAATACCTTAAGAAGAATGAGAAAAACAATTTTGGTGTGCGTCAAATGCCTACGCACCTAGTTCTTTTCCCTTTTCCTTTTATCTGTGTATTTCACATATTCCACCCTTTCGTAACCACAATCCTCTCAATATATGTAAGTTATATAGTGTACTATCATTTCCTTATCTAAGCAACTAACACAAAATTAGGTTTCAGTAAAAAGTGAAGAAATTTAAAACCAACCAAAAAACAAAATGAACAGAAAAGCAAATATCCTTAGTACCCAGTCTATACTTCAGCAGAAAGCGCTCTGACAGGCAATGCCTTCAAAATGATTCTAGAACGGATTGATTAATGCGCAGCCGAGTAACAACAAGGGATAGTAATACCATGTTCCCTAATAGAAATAGCTTTCGGTTTCAAGGCTGTTAACTGCGTGGTATATTTGTAGTATCGTAGATTGTCTCACCACAGTCAGTTTTAAATACCGTTTTTCCAATTTTCTTTTGATTTCTTTTTACTCTATTTTGTGTTTTTTTCTGAAGCATTATTAGATATATTAGTAATTTTGATATCATGAACGTAACATACTGTATATTGTGTTACTTTACTATTTGAAAAAGTCATGAAAGAAGTAACGAGTTTTGTTTTAAGAGAAAACAAGAGCAAATGCGAAGCATATGATGACAAACCTTAATACAAATGTAACGATATTTAAGGTTCATATTAAAAATGTCAACATATCATGATTGCGGAAACGTTGTCTTAAAGAATACCACAAGTTACATAGAAATAAATCAATTGTACACACACAAAACGAAGGTATAGCGCATTTAATCCTATAACGCGCATACGAGAACAGTTTATAGCATTCGCACGTACGACCACGTATGTTCACCTTCCGTAAATTCACGGTTTCCAGATTCCGTCAACAAAAGCGAACGTTCGCGGTACTGCATTTCAGTGGGAACATCGTTATCCAACGACAACCCCGGCGTGTTCGAAGAAAACCAGAAATTCGGCACAGCGGTGTAACGCCATAACGACGAAACACATTTCTCCAAACCAGAACACAACGGCGCTGCCACCGCTGACGAATTGTAACCTGCCCGCCATTAGAGTCTCCCGCCCCGTGTCGGACTCTCTAAATAGAAAATTTCAGGCCGTTTGTTTGTGCGGTGATGTTTCCAACTTGAAAATTCATTACCTTCGCTCGCGCAGGCCCCGCCAGTATAACGTGGTCGCCAGAGCGACCACATGAACCCGCAACACGGGAGAGGCTCGACGGCTAGCAAACTTATATTACACCAGTCGTCCCGGGAAGCGTCGCATTCGCTTAAACTTCGCACTTAAAAGAAATGACTTCTTTTTTTGGGAGGGGGCAGGCGGCAGCCAGGCGAAGCGAGAGCATTGCCGCTTCCTACGTCATGCATGCTCGTATACCAAGCGCAATGTGATGTGATAAGGATTCCGCCGCTAAGGGAAGAGACAGTGGTGGTGGGGTGGTGGTGAATTTGGAGGGTGCTAGCCTTCGCCACCTTCTACCACAAGGCCGTCGCTTGACCGTCACTTGGCCAACGCTGTGACACCGTGCACTCGGATAGTGAGCTAGGTCGTTGATAACCTACCCGTAATTCTTGGGTTTTATTTATTCTATGTATTCTACGACAGAATATTAATAGAAACATGTGGATAACGAGGATGGAGATAAAAACTACATTTAGGAACTTGAAGGAAAACAACATTTGTTCAATTGATAGAAGGTAAATCAATCCAGAAAGGCTTTCCACTTTCACCAAATATGTTGAAAAGGCAACACGTCACATTTATTACACAATTTTTTTAATATTATGTACAACACTAAAATAATTATATACTACATTGTATTAAAAAGTAAAATCTCATAGTCAAAACCATGCGATCAACATGCTCTTTTTTGTTTTCCAAATTGTAGATAAAATAGTTACTCATACAATATTAAATGAGAATTTATGTTAGGTTTTGAATTCATCTTGTAAACACTGTAAATTGTGTAACACATAGTGTATCTGTGTGTTATATTGACTCACAGTGTAACGTATCAGAGTTTTTCCCAGAAAGTAACATTTAAACTTTCCGAAAAACGTTTTTTACTTGTAATAATGTGAGTCATGTGTTAGGAAATTTGGTTTTCGGCTACAAAAATAACAGCTGTAATAGTAAATTACCTTAATAATCCAGTGTTTATTTTCTTTTTGACCTTAACCAGTGTCTGCAGTCCAGGTATAATCCAATCATAAATATGTACTGTGATAAAGTGAGACAAGCAAAATTTCCATTTCAGAGGCTGCTTATTAACTGCGTCAAACTATTTCATCTGTATGGCCTATATGAATCAATTAATTTTTTTCTGTACAGTTCTTGGAATGTATCAGATCTAATCTGATATGATCTATTTCTGATATACCTTTATATACTTTCGTTGATTTTCTTTCTATCCGTTCCTAGACTTCTAAATTCGATCATTAATTTTCTTGTGCTTGATCTGTAATACCAGTGGGTAAATTGCGATAATTTATTTTATTTTGGTGATATTTGAGAATCTTCGGTGTTAAATTTTGTATTCATCCTTAATAATTATCTTTTCATAGATGTTAAATTGTACTCCATTATGTATGATTGGATCATTTTGTTTTAAATTTGACCAATTTTGCTTCTATTGTTTTCTTGAAAGCCACATCACCTTTCATATTACTTTTATTATCATTTGACTTCTCTACTTACCCCCTTCATATTCGTCCTCTTTTTTTTCTCTTTACATTTATGACCCGACTTTTTATGCTACTTAGTACGCAATTTTACATTCGCTTTCAAGATTTTTCATTTTCATATTTCTTAATTAACTTTTGTAATCCTTTGTTTCTTCTTTCTCTAAAAGCTGCATGTTTCCCGTTGCTTAGCAAACTCGTTTCCACTTTTTTGTGGCTTGTTTTCTCTTCACGTCGCCCCTGTCACGGCAGAGTACGTTCTGATCTTGGTGGAGGTTATCCAACCCTCGTACTGAGGGTGCTACTGCCTTCTGACGTTTCCGCATTCACCCTCTATTCCCAGCGCCCCTTCGTCGCACGGCTTTTCACCATCGCGTCACTTTACCCCCGGCCTCGCCGCAGTTCTTCCCCGCCCCAGCCCAAACCCTCACCCCTGCCAGCGCTCCTGGCCTCGCTCCCGACTCGCCTCAACCCCCTCATCTGTCACCAGCGTCTGCACCACCCGACCCCACATCCCGTCCCCGTCCTCGTCCCCAANNCTTCCCATCCCCACCCCTGGTCATACTGCGCCCCTCCCCGTACCCGCCACCATCTTTTTCCCAACCCGACCCGCATCCACTCCCCCGTTCTCGTCTCCACCTCCGTCTCCACCGTCTCCTCTCCCCACAAGCTCACCCCCGGCCGAAGCCCTAACCTCTCGCCACTACGTCGCTTCCACAAACAGGATTTTTATCTAAACCACTCGCGGTCTGTCTGCGAGAGGGAAACCGCCAGTTAACGTCCCCGCAATGAGCCTGTTGAGAATATAGGTGAAGCGTCGTGGGCGGTGACGATGTAGGCCACGAGGCCTTTTAACTTTGGCGCGGTGCTGGGCGGCCCACGCCTGATAATCCGGACGAAGAACCTGACATCTGCTACTTTTTTGCTTTAGTAAAGTAGCTACGTATGTTGTGTGGTTTCAGTATTGGCAATAAATGCCAAAAATGTTATCGTGTTTTCCACTAATATTTCAATTGGTTTAATTTATTTTTTAGTTCAAAGAATGTTAAGTTAATTTTTAACTTTCATTTTGTTTTTTTAACTACGCTCATCCATACATAATATTCTTATCAATGAACCGTCAGTGAAAGCGAATTTAAAATATATTTGTATAATATTTCAGTAGTTGACATAGAAATATCCCAACGTTATTATGAAAAGTGCGTATTTCATAGCAAAGAGAGTTCATGAAATCTTACGACGTTCTTCACATCCATGTAACACTTACTATATGTGTATTTATAGTTCCTTCAATTCAACGCGATTCAGGTTGTTGGATTTTCAGTTATACTTCCACAACTGCTCAATAAAACAGAATGTGAATACCACTCGAAAGAACTGTTCGTATTGTTTAATCACAGACATTACTTGTCTGTGATGTTAACAGAATGTTTAAATACATGAAAAACAAGCAGTAAGCAGGCGGTTTTGGTACGAATTCTCCTGGCCTCTCTTCAAAACTTGCACCATCGTAACCTGCCGTCGTCATTTGTGTACCGCCTGCTGTCAGCTTTCTCCTCCACTTCTCTTCTGTTCCCCCTCTCCTCCCCCCCTCCCCGCGCTGCGCTGTCGCCAGCGATCCGCGAGAGTTTCCTGCGCCGGCTCCGTCGCAAGCAGTCGACTCGTACTTACCGACAACTTAAGCGAATTATTTAGGATTAGGATCCGAGATCCGACTAGACCTCATCAAGTCTCTGCGACTGATTCCGGCGTCGTCAGCACTTTTGCCCGGACAGTGCCGGGTAATCATTAAACGAGGATTAAGGAGACGTGACGGGGAGAGGGAGCGGCGGAGGCGCCTTGGTGGGCGAGGAAGGGAGGGGAGGGGAGGGGAAATGCAACGAGGCATGTCGAGGAAGGGAGAGGAGGTGTGCGGTGCGAGGAAAGAGAGAGGCTGTGAGAAGGAGAGAGGGGAAACGAAAAACAATGGAAGATAAATCACAGCATGAAACTCAGCGGGATATGTAAAGAAATACGAAAAAGAGAATGAGAGGGAGTGAGAGAAATTTTATGCCTAGAAGATCGCAGAGGAGATGCTAATAAATAAGTCACTATATAGTGAGATGACAGGTCGTGATGAGTGATAAAATGTTTATTCATAAGAAGATTGATTGATGTTTACGGGCACGACAACTACTATGGTCATTAATACCGTTAGAATAGTGAAACGCGGGATATGAAAAATTTTCTCTAAGCTGGGTGGTGAGATCCGCCTCCAATTTACTCAGCATTTTACGGGGATTTCGTCTCCAGGTATTTTCAGAAATGAGCACCGATCTAGCCAGGAGAAGTTCTAAGGTTTCCCGACATGCTAGGGCATGTAATAAAGTTTAATTCTAAGACATAAGAATAATTAATACAATATCATTGTACATTAATTAAAATTAGTACGCTCTTAACGTAAACATCTCAGATTTCCAGAAAATGCTTTTGAAAGTAAAGATATCTCTCACGGTACTAAAAATTGTTTAACGTAATCACATCCCACATCCCTAAATGTTGAGTATGTGGTCATATATTTTTACGCTTGTGCAGTAAAAAGTACAAAAATTTTGTGCAACCCAAACAAAAATATAAGGGTTTTATAGTTATGACACTTCATTATGTGTGATAAGAATTTCAGGAGGACTAATTATGGATATACAAAGATGTTTATCCACAAATGTGCTCAGCGAGGTCAAGGTCAGAAATTCTCCCAGAGAAAGATCAGAGTATATACATAGAAGTCCATGAAAAATTTCTAGATATAAAATGAAACGCATGAAAGCATAACGCTAAAGGACTTTAAGATAGAGGATAATTAGTAAAGAGGAGTGCAACTGACGATTGGAAAGTGGGCGTGGATGAGTTGGCGCTATTTTAGGCGCAAGTGTTGGTGATAGTGTTGGCGCAAGTGCTGGCGCTACGTATTAGTAGTATTGACATTAGAGTTGACGCTGGTTTTGCTGCTAGTCTTGTAACGTGTCTTGGTACTAGTTTTTAACACGAAGGTTGAAGCAGGTGTGGACGCTACTGTTCACGATAGTTTTGGCGGTTGTGCTGACGCAAGTGTGGGCAAGGCCAGGCAACGAAGGAGTCCGGAGGCGATGGAGGTGGGAGTGACGGGGGCGGGGGAGGGGAAGCTGCGATGGCAGGCGTGGAGGCGGAGCTGAAGAAGGTGAGGACGGAGGCGGACGCCGGGGCGACAGATGGAACAATGATGAGACGCTGGAGTCGAGATCCCGGATTTGAAGACTCCAAGACTGCAGAGGCGATTTTGCAGAGCTTGTTTCCGAGAAACGTCTGACGCTTACAATCCTCTATTGATAAAAATATTCCGAGGGGTTTTAGACTTTCATTCAACTCGTTTCTTTCGCAGGGATTTACGAAGTGACAAAATGAAACGTATGCATTTTCTTGATTTCTTCAAAGTTGATAAAAATGAAAACCAATTGTAGGATATTAAAAAAAATATTTTATCACATCAATTTTTATGAAGAATTGATCTGGATGTCACATGCAAGAATCTAGATGGTTCCTAAAACAATATTCACATACACTTTCCTAAAAAAACGGGAATAGAATTTTATGAATAAAAAAGGAAATAGTTTAGATCGTTAAAATGATCGAACATATGAATGGTGTTAATACGCTGAAGACAAAATCATATGTATGATATTTGCTAATTGATGAGCTGTGACGTTTAGTTATTATTAAAAAAGACAAAACGTGTGAAGTCACTATACTGTTATTATATTATCGAATAGATTCACAAACGCGTCATGTAAAAATGATAAGCTGAAGATATCGACTTCAAATACAGATAATTGTCACTAAACATTTTGTTTATTTGCTTTAGCCATCTTTCGATGATTTCGATGCCCTCATTAGTAGTGTACGAATAAAGAAAATAAAAGAAAATACCAAGAACTAACGAAAATTTCGTATTAGCGGTGTGAATGTTCAGTCCACTGAAGGATTGCAATCCTTAAAATGTTTGAGTAAACGATTTAGCAAGAACATTACGTATTCGTTTAAACGTTCCACCCACATTCTCAGGTATTTTAATTCGTCAAACCCTCTGATACCTTCCCGGCTTCCGATACCGCGCGTGAGACCCATCGAACTGCTCGAACCACGCTCGATGCAACGCGTTGCTAATGAATGAGACAGAAAGGGCAGGAGGGAGAGCAGGCCAACCACCTCTCTCCAATTAATTGCTTGCGGGCGGCGAAGGGGACTCGAACAGCGGGCCTTCCGGGAAATGTTTCGTGCTTGTGGACCGCAGAAGGATGTTTCCACGAAGAGAAGCAATGAGCAAGATATGAAATGTAGTTCACTAGCATTGCTTTTTATTGCTTAGCGTTGGCTTAGTGCGGTAACGTAGTAATATTGTAAAGATAGAACCTTGTCGAATTTTCGAAATGCTTTGCTGTTTGTGTCGAATTTCTTGTAGTTTATTAATACGCACACGGAAATTAGAGGAACTTCATTGAACAGTGTGGTTGAACCTTGGTAAGGTCTGGTGGTTACGATAGTAGTATAAGTAAATAACAGGAAATATCGATAGGAAACACGCAGTCGACTCAGTTATTTCAAGTGACAATCAGGATCACACCGGAGCAGGGTTGCCAGATTTGGTGGAGTTCCTCTTTTGGAGCTGCAAAACTCTTTTGTTCTTTCGCGGAACAAAAACTGACTTCACGGAATGCCGCCCAATAAGCGGAAATGCATCAAAACACGTGCGATTTTGAGCGGGTATTCATATTAGGCCGACATTTTCCTAAAAACAACCACAACGACGTTGCCAGAGAGTTTCTTTTTTTTTATACATGATTTTTCATTCATCATATGTTATTTTTTTCAAATTTACTTTGGAAAGTGAGAAATATTATTTTTAGATCTCTAGTATAGGGTGTGTTCTATAAGTCATAGCGTCTTTGTCGTGCATAACATGAGTATATAATATAAAACATTAGCAGTATTGCAGTTAATTTTAGAATACGCCATTTAAAATTGGATCATCTTCTGGAAATACGGTGACCCTGCTAATATTTTCTGTTATGTCATAGGAAATACGCATGCATATGTAAGCATTCCTGTGATCTTTCTTAAGCGCAGGTATTTAAGAGGAACAAGGGGAGTAAAGATAGGAGAGGGGAAATTAGATTATTTCCTAAAGAATTCCTCCCATCTGCTGTAGTCAAAAGATTGACTAGTTTGTAAATATTGCGATATAATTTATTATTTCAAAAAATATGTTTTAACACAACTTATTATTTACAGTGTTCATAAAAATAAAAATAATCGAGAATTTCAAATGTCTTGGTCTGGAAAATAGAATAGCAGCTATACCTTCACCTCCCACTTGGACCAGCTTATTTGAAATTACCCGGGAGCGCCTTTACTACAATAACAAACCTTGTGCGAATAGCAACAAATAGGTGGACCTCTAAATTTACCCTTGCCTTGAGCCGAATCTGTCTCTGAGCAAATTGCATGGGAACACATAAACGTTTTGAAAAGAAACTTTCGGTACATACTGTCCCAAGACGTTAGAGCACTGCCAAGGTAAGGTAGGCTTCCTCGTAAAAACTCTATTATCGTGGAGAAATGGTGAAAGAGAATCGTATAGTGCTGTGACAGCGTGACCCTGACTATTTCATAATTCCACCCCATGCAGTGCGCTATGTGAATAAAGTGCCACACGGTGTACTTAATGCATGCAATATCGTGCGGCAATAAAATTTAATGTTTATGCCGGTGATCCATTATATCGTAAAGCAGTTTCTTAAGCCGTCCAGACAGGCTGAAGATTAATTCAGCTCATTGCCGGTCTCTGCAGCGACTCTGAGAGGGAGGTCCTTGGTTTGAGTCCAGACGGTAGCTGGTTTTTGACTCTTAGTTTCGTAGATACTTCGAAATGAGCGCTGTCTGTAGGAGAATTGTAGCGGACGGCTGCTCTGATCGGTAGTTTTCCGTGATATCTCAGAGCAGTACTAAGCGAATGTCGGAGAATTGCTTTAATAAGCGGGTCACGAATCGTGCACGACCATGCTTTCCTCTTTCTTGTCCCATCATTTCCACTTATACACTCATTCTTACATGCATTGTACTCCCACGCTTTCGAGTGAGAGGTAGGGAGTGTCCCAGTTGGGGTGGTTCCCCGCTGGATACCTGGAGGGGTAAATCCCTGCAAGCCCACGTGTAGGTCTACGCCGGATTTCGTAACCCAACGGTCGAAGAACACTACCGCATCCCGCAATAAAACATTTACTGCACTAACGGGTCTAATTTCCTTAAGAGTTGACGTACCCGGTAAACCTTATTTGACCGCCTGTGATGACTCATTGGTAGCAAGTCATATCATTTGCCGCGCCACTGAGAGAAATTCCATTTGAGAAGACAGTTTGAGTCCCGACTGTACCCCTTTTTTGGCACTAGAAACATCACTGGATGAAGTTCATTGACTGTAAAGGTTTTTTTTTTCAATAAAATGGGAATGTCGGAGTACTGTTTTAACAAACAACAGAATGGGCTGATCCCCTTTTCTCAGATGACTCGTTCCTCATTGATTTTCTGCTAATAGAGGCTACATGATCCAGTGATCTAATTCACTACGGATAACATTTAGTAAAATGGAAAGATGAACTTTTTCAGATAGTTATACTTCTGATCTTTAAACATTCAATGACAATCGTCCACACAATGATCATACTATGATTATGATTCTTCTCTTCAAAAACGTTGAAGAACTGAAACGCTCATGAACGTTGAAGAACATCACCTACACAATGAAAACGCTTCGAAATTAGAGACAATAATGCTTAAAGATTTTTAAATAGTAAAGAGGAGTGGTGATCATCAATAATGTTCTTTGTCCGCATTGATTTATTTAATATTAATGTCGATAAATTGATACCAGTTTCTTGTAATCGCAAGCGTTCTAATAACACCTATCCAACTATTTACATTTTTTTACATATTTTTTTCTACCTGTTTCCTTACATTACGAGTTTTCAAAAAGTTAAATGTAAAACATACCAAATATAGAGGCAAAATGTCCGTATTTTATGTCAAGTAAACAGTTACCAATAATTTAATAAATGTGTCAACACTCATTTTAATTACGCAAGTGAAAAATAATTATGAGAGGCATATATAGAAATGAAACAAGACTTCTTTATTTTTCTTCAATTTATTCATTATATTTTTATAAAATATCTCTAGGAAAATGTGATATTTTAGCATCTGAGATCACTTTCGGAATAAATATTGTTAGAACTTTAGGATTCATGGCCTCATATTATGAACAATCATCATCATGTCCAACTAGCCTTTGCGCTAATTCTCCAGTTTTTTAAACAATGCTTCATGACAAATCATTGTATTTTGTAAATACATATTACAGTATTTTCGTAGTACTGCTTTCTTTTTAATTAAGTTTATTCATTATCGTATCAACAACTTGGTTATTAGCGAGTATTACAAGTATTGCATTACAATATGTTAATATAACAAAATATATAATATTAGGTAAAAACAATGTTACAATTTAACTTTATAATATTATTTAACTCCTATTAATTCATACTTGACAGGATTAAATTTAAATAAAAGAATGAAGATAAATTTCAGTACATATTTTTATACCTTTACAAAAGCTGATTATTTTTCTTTATCCGCTAATGAATGTAGAATGTCATCGTATTTACATTCCAATTTCTGCCTCTGATTGTTATATCTGGGTCATATTTTAAAGATGTGGTCAATATCAAGTTTGGTATTGCAAAGTTCGCATGTCGGGGATTTTTGTAATAGTAATAGATGACTTTATTTGGAATGTCCAGATCTTATTCGTAAATGGACTGTTTGCTCCCTACGGCAAATTTTCTTATTGATATTCACGAGAAAAATATGCTTGTTGACTGATGGATGTTTCTGGATTTAGATGTGAAAAAACTGTTCTATTGAAGGTTTCATTTGTTATTGATGTTTCGCAGAAATCTTCAAATATAATCGTTTCTCTTGTATCGACGTAAGGGAACCCAAGTATAGACAAACGTGGAACCTCTCTTAATAGCGTATATTTGTAACATTTGTAAAGAATTCTACAGTTCGCCCATCTGGAAGGATGATTAAACAAATTAGTTCTAGCTGAAGTTTGTGGATGTTTTTGCTACCCTCAAGAACAATAGTATTTCTTATTCTCTGTGCATATAATCGGCAAAAATTGATAAAGAGTTTTATTAATGTCAAAAAACAATTAACACTAAATATTGTAAATGTGCTACTGCTGGATGAGAA